TCTTTGCTTTTTTTTTTTGGAACAGTGTTACACTGTTGACTCATATTTAGCTTGTGATCCACTATGATCCCCAGATTCCTTTCCACAGTACTCCTTCCTAGGCAGTCATTTCTCTATTTTGAATGTGTGCAACTGATTGTTCCTTCCTAAGTGGAATACTTTGCATTTGTCCTTATTGAATTTCATCCAATTGACTTCAGACCATATCTCCAGTTTCTCCAGATCAATTTGAATTTTAATCCTATCCTCCAAAACACTTGCAACCCCTCCCACCTTGGTAATGCTCACAAACTTGATAAGTGTAAGAGAGACTCTGTAACTGGGGGGATTTCACCATGTCTCAGAGGGTTACACCCTTGTGGGAGGGGGCTAGTCTTGTACTGGAATAAGGTCACTCTGTGCTTCACAGTGTGGCAGAACCTAGAATGTCCATTAGCAGGGACAAATCCTGGGGGGAATTGTCTTGTGGAATGGACAAAACCCCTGTCTGAATTCTCTCACGTTGCCCTTCTCACCCTGGCAGGCTACAGAATAACATCCAGGTTTCACTCCAGATCATCCTGTCCTCCCAGGGGGAAGGAAATGGCTGCAATGGAGCTGGCTCAGATAAGGGATTATCAGGGAGCTGGTGGTGGGTTCTGCTTGGAGGGAGAGGAGCAGTAAATGCATAGGAGGGTGGGAGCTGCTAGAGGTGGTGGGAGGCAGGAAATATCTAGGGTGGAGAAAGGGAGGGCACAGGATGTGACAAACTTGCTGAGACTTGTGTAATCTAGGGTGTGATGGGTTGTCACCTCCAGGGTGCAGTCTTGGCGGTTTCTGGGAACCGCTGTGCCCCCCTTCTCATACTGCTTTGCTGAGATTCAGCCAGCCTCTCCAGCCTTTTCTCCCCCACAGGGCAGGTGGCCATACCCCATCTACCTGGTGCTTTACCTCACCCACTGATAGAAGACATCAGCCAATTTCCCAGCTCCCCAGCCTTGCACACCTGCTGTAGTATAAATCCAGAATTATACCATCTTATTGTGCACAGGGATCTGTATAATGTAAGCTCATTAATATAGTTCGCCTTGGCCTCGATATGGGAAAGGTATGCACAACAAGCTTGTGCTAACCCAGCCTAAGATAGTAGATGGATAGAATTTGAATTAGCAATTTCTCACCCTGACTGGTGATACAAGCAGTCCATCAAGTTTCCATACAGAAACTAGAAATCCCTTGACCCTGGGACCAGCACTTCTCCCAGTTCAGTCTTTGTTCCTCAGGTGTTTCCCAGAGTTCTCTTGTGTGGGGAATGAGGCCAAGAGGTGATGTCACACCCCACCTTATGTAGCTTTTCCATATGATGGGAACCCTTTTTTCCCAAACTCTGTTCCTAGTCCAGCGTGTGGACTACGGGGACCAAAATGCAGTTCAATGTCATGTGGTCTGTAAAGTCAGACACAAACATGATCCATGCACCCAAATAGGATAATCGCATTCAGCAAATTATAACTTTTCCAAAGACACCGCACGTGACCCATCTTGCACAAAATGCATCATCATGAGGTCCTAATCATTTTATAATTGCACCACTGTGCTGAATGTGGGTGTAGTGTCAGGCAGGGCCTAATTTCAAGGCAGAGGAGTTGGGAATGGAACATCCCTTCTTTATGGAACAGGAAATAATCCCCCAGCCAGGGCTGGGAAAACTTCCCAGACTCCCAGTCCTGGAGCCTGAATCTACTGAGACTTCATTAGTTACCACCACCCTCAATCTTTGTGGCAGCTGCAAACTTTATCAGTGACGATTTTATCTTCTCTTCCAGGTCATGAATAAGAATGTTAAATAGCACAGAGCCAAGAACCAATCCTTGTGGGAACCCCCTAGAAAGAAATCCACTTGACCATGGTTCCCCATTTACAATCACAGTTTTTAATGGATGCTGTGTTTATTTTGTATCTTTCTAGTTTTCTAGTCAACAGATTGTGCTGAACCAAGTCATATGCCTTACACAAGGGAGTATGTTACATCAATACTATTAGTTGCAACCAAACTTTTGATCTCATCCAATAAGGAAATCCAGTTAGTTTGATAGGATCTATTGTGTCTAAACCGTTGTTCATGGGTACTAATTTTATTAAGCTCCTTTAATTCTTTATTAATGAAATCCAGTATCGGTTGCTCCATTCTCTTGCCCAGTATCGATGTCAGACTCTTGGATACAAGTTATCTGGACTCGCTGATTTAAACATGTCTAACTTTAATAGCTGCTGTTTAACGGCCTTGTGAGTTACTGATGGAATGGAAAGAGTGGCGTCGTCAAGATCTTATGATATGAGGGGGAGGGATAGCTCAATGGTTTGAGCACTGGTCTGCTAAACCCAGGGTGGTTGTGAGTTCAATCCTGGAGGGGGCCATTTAGGGATCTGGGGCAAAAATTGTGGGGGTTGGTCCTGCTTTGAGCAGGGGGTTGGAATAGATGACCTCCTGAGGTTCCTGCCAACCCTGATATTCTATGATCTGTTTTTCTCCAAATCCAGGAGAGAAATATTTATTGAACACTTTTACCTCTTCTGCATTATTTTTGATAATTCTGCCTTTTCCCTCTAGTAATTTACCACTACCACTGTTGGGATTAATTTTGTACTTAATATACATGTAAAACTTCCTTCTTATTTTCATTGCTTGGTCATTGATTTCGGATAGCTTTCCTTACCAATTTTCTACAATTCTGATCTTCTAACTTCCATATATTTTATTTGGAGAGTGTTGGGATTCCTACTAGGGAGCCACCAGCAGGGCCCAGAGATAGCCCCATCTCCTCTATCAAGCTCTGGCTAGTAGGTATGTGATAAATGTGAAGACCCTGCCTCTGTCTGTCAGTTGGAAGACACAAATGTCTCTCTTTCTACCCTCTGATGCCTCCTGGCTGCTCTAAGCAAGGTCGGGGTGGGGCTCTGTTAACATGTGCCTCCCGTAACTTCTATTTACCTGGTGCTGCTGTTCTGTGAATAGTGAGGTTGTGACTGGGGCAGTAGGTACTGTTGGACTCTTGCTCTTTCATGGGCCGGTGACCTTCAAGGAGGTGGCTGTGTATTTCACCAGGGAATAGGGGACTCTGCTGGACCGAACTCAGAGATCCCTCGACAGGGATGTGATGCAGGAGAACTATGAGATGGTGGTCTTGCTGGGTAAGGAGTCCTGTCCTCTCAGTTAATAGAAGCCATGGGGTCTCTAAAGAGCCTGAGTAGTAATAACGTCATACTTTATTCATCACACAAGTTTTGACAAGTTTTCTTGCCCCTCCTTTTTTTGCCTTACTCCTACCCATGAGTATAACTTTTGGACATAGTTGGTGCTTTTTTGGTGCCATCAGTTGTTTAAAATTTGCATTTAATGTATCCTTATTGGCTACATTAATACACTAGTAGCTTTCCTCATTTTAAGAGGAAAATATGCCGCCTGTAGAATTCTAAATTCAGTAAATAGGTGTATGACTCATGCATGGTTTGTGTAACAGTCCGATGAGCTCAACTTTTGATAGGAGATCGTGTAATGTTGCCATTCAGGACCCCATGTGTGAAGGAGTACAGAGCCATGGGAGTGAAGGAAATGGGTGGGGGAGTAGATAATTCTGGAGTACCAGAACAGGGTGTGTGCATGGTTAGAGCTAAGAAGCAGCAGGGAGGGATGAGGTAGTGAGACATGAGGAGAGAACACAAGAAGCTCCCAAGGTGCTGGGAGGTGGGGATGGCTGAGAATAATGGGAAGAAGAGGATTGGAGTGTGGATGAAGGACACCTAGGAAGTGGAAGGGAGGACAGGTTTGGGGATGTAGAGCTGTGGGGGATCCAGACCTTTAATCCCGAATCCCTACCCAGGCCATGTTGCTTTAGAGCCTCCACTCCAGTTTTATTTCTGTTCAGTTTCACTTCATTATACATTTTCTCCCCAAATATTATTATTTTATCTTTTGACCTCCCTCTCCCACTCATTACCCCCTCCCCATCTCTATGCACAGGGACCCAGGCTCAAACGGGCACTTTGTTGATGATGTCACAGTGGTAGTTTAGGCTGGGAAATTTTTACAGATATAAGATTACATAGTGGGGTACAACTTGCCCTTCTACATGGCTACTCAAAGTTAATTGAGAAGATGAAATTTGGTGAAACACACAAACTTGATTTAATACAGTTAGAATTGATATCATAGGCAAGGATCAATACACATAACGATTCGAGTAAGATAAGTATAGTAAAGAGGGTCTAGCACTGTGCACACTTACAAGTTATGGACACCATTGGAAACAAAGATGGAGGGGCAAGGGAGGCGGTCAAAAGGGAGGCCCTGCTTCAGTTTACATTGTCTCGGGGATCTGACAAAATGGAAAAATGGTAACTGGGAGAGGTAATTTATTCACTTTTTTAAGGTAATAGTATACCATATGTGCTCCTTTACTCTGATTGCAATAATGTCAATCGCTGCCCCAACTGATATGCGGCCTTTGGGAAGTCCATAATTAAGTATCAAGCATCAGGGCTGTCCCTGGCCATTTTGGTGCCCTACATAGCCCCCTTGCAGGTGGGGGCAGGGAGGGTGCTGGACCAGGCCTCCATAGGGGGGCAGAAGCAGCCTTGGAGGGGGGGCGGGAACCGCCCCCCAGAAGGAGCTGGCAGTGTGGAGTGGGTTGGGGCCGGGTTGCTCCACTTCCTGCCACCCGGTGAGTACAGGGCAGTCCGAGCCCACAGTCATGGGGCAGTGGGAAGTGGAATAACCTGTCCGCAGCCCGCAGCTCTCTGCTCTTCTGGCTCCCAGCCAAAGGGTAGGGGGAAACTGCCCCCAGTCACCGGTGTCACGGAGCGGGCTAGGGTCGGGTTACTCCACTTACTGCCGCCTGGTGAGTGCAGGGCACCAGACCACTGCTGCAGTACTCCGGGGAAGGGGTGGAGTGGGGGTGGGGGTGGGGGCGGGGCGGGGCGGGGAAGGAATGGAGTCGGGGTCAATAGGAGTGAGAGTTTGGAGAGTCTTGTCCCCCCTCTCCCCATCTGCAGCAGCCACAAGTGGTCTTACCTCCAGGCTCCTTGGATCTTTGAGCCTGGCCCTCCTGAGGTTGCACGGCCCAGTTCTTGTTTCTTACATTCTCCTTTTCTGGAAGAATTAGAGGGTGTTGCTCCCAAAATTTTGTGTTTAATTTCCCAGCCTACTCCACATAGTGGGGGGCGTTTAACTCTCCCTCCTATTACACCTGAGTCAGTAGATTTCCTAATTCCCCAAAATGTGCTTTTGCGATGTCACAGTTCTGGGGTAGCTAAGCTTTTTGACCTGCCTCCATGGTCTGCTCAAGGAATGCCCTCTCAGGTATCAGGCCTCTACCCAGCCCCTCTCTATGGGTCGGGACCCATATGCCTCTCCTTTTTGACCAGGGTTGAGGATTGTAGCTTGTCTTCCACAGTGTTCACTGGACTAAAGTCCAGTTCCTGTGCTTTGCTTTCTCTCCAAGGGCAGTGAGCTCTGTGTGTGTGTGTGTGTGTGTTAGAGGTGGGTATTTTGGTGATACATGTATGATGCCAATAGACAACTCAGTTTCCCTCTGTGATTGGTACTGCTATGATTATAAAGAGCAGGAAACATGAGGTGTTTTGTCACGTAGCTATCATGGGGTGATATGAATGGATCATTAAGGACTAGCTGGGACCAGCCTACATCAATGGAATACCCGACAGAGACAAGGGAATAATTGTCACCTGTCCATGGGAGGATCTCTGCTTGGCTGAGTGAAGCATACATGGACTCGTTATGTTTTTGGGAGCAGGAAGAACTGGGCTCGCAGATGTAGGGAGCTCTGCCGGAGCGAAGACTAATGGACAGGCACAGTGAAAGGAAACCAAACTGTTTTCTACAGCAGCATGGCTCAAGGGCATTGGCCAGTATGGATTGTATTGTCTTCTTCGCTTCTCTGTCCTAATCTAAGGACTTTCCAATGCTGTGTTTAACTTGACTAATAAACCCTGCTGTGTTTTAAAAGTCTGCCCAGTGTCACAGGAAAAACTTGCTCTGTGCATTGACTGAGGAACAGTCTCTGAAGAGGAGTGTCGTTCAGCTGGACCTGCTGGGCAGAGCTCACAGGTTGGAATAGGAGCGTTGAAGCCAGAGGCTCAGTCTCTGGTGTTGAAGCTCCACGGCCCATCCTTGTGGAAGAGTGGGACCACTTGGGAGTTTTGTGCACTCGAGGCACCTCCCAAGGACTGTTCATAAGCCTGGGCATTGCACAGATCCTATGGATCCATGACAGTGTGCCTGTGTGCCTGATGGGGGAAAGGATATAAAACAAGAAAAGCATCTAAATGTGTATTTACCATTGTCCCCTCCTCAGTCCTCTTGGGAATCCCTGATCCGTTCCAAAGTGTATTAAAACCTTTCTTAAAGGCTTACCTCTTGGTTATCAGGTCATGTCAGTTTTGTCAGAGGGCTTTCCATTCACCCTCCCACTTCCCTGGTTCTTGTCAGGTAGACAGCAAGTGGCAAAAGACCAGAAGTCTGAAGCGCAGACAATGCAATGTTTATTGGGATTAGTTTCCAAGCAAGCACATTCTGAAGCCGTTCACACCAGTCAGACCCATAGAGTCTGTTACCCAGTGTTCCCCTGCCCAGCTTTAATGCCACAGAGTGTTTACCCGCATCCCTCTTCAAAATTCTGAGACCACAGAGCCTTGCCTTGCCTGTGTCTCTGTTCCCCATTCCCTGTTCCCACCCCTTAGCAAGCATCGTTCCAAATTCCCTTCCGCTTCCTGTTTGACCCCAATTTCTATAGTAATATTCTCAACTATAGCTTAGCTGGTCATTTCACTGAAATTTAACTTAACCAATCCTAACATAATGTAATATAATTCTCTAACCAATTATATCCCACTAATTAACTTCCACCTAGCAAAATTAATTATACAGCAGACGGAAACAATTAGTGAACCAGGCAGATTAACAATAGAAAAGTGGGGGCCATAAAGATAAAACATAAAGAAATGAGGGTTTCACAACCATTGATAATGAAGTGATTTCTTGCCAGACAGGATGCTATCCAACTAAGTTTTCTTTAACCATCTTAAGATCCATTTCTTTATCTGGTGGTGATGGGCACTATCCAGACAGGATCGGCTTCCTAACAGCCGAATACCACCTTATTTCAATGTGACTGGTTTGGGATGTGAAAATGTGACCATACACTTCCAGACTTACGGCTGCCCCTACTGCTTAGCCAAAGGCCTTAGCCTAAGAACAAGGCCTCGGACTATCCTAGTGAGAGAAGGCCCATAAACAGGCGGACTGTGATTTTGATTCTTTGTTTTTATAACCCTGTAAGTAGGTGAGCCCTGGTCTACACTAGGAATTTAGGTCGAATTTAGCAGCGTTAAATCGATGTAAACCTGCACCCGTCCACACGATGAAGCCCTTTTTTTTGACTTAAAGGGCTCTTAAAATCGATTTCCTTACTCCACCTCTGACAAGTGGATTAGCGCTTAAATCGGCCTTGCCAGATCAAATTTGGGGTACTGTGGACGCAATTAGACGGTATTGGCCTCCGGGAGCTATCCCAGAGTGCTTTATTGTGACCACTATGGACAGCACTCTCAACTCAGATGCACTGGCCAGGTAGACAGGAAAAGGCCTGCAAACTTTTGAATTTCAATTTCCTGTTTGCATGGTCACCTGCAGCTTGCCACGCTGGCCAGAGCTCATTAGCAGAGGTGACCATGATGGAGTCCCAGAATCGCAAAAGAGCTCCAGCATGGACCGAACGGGAGGTACGGGATCTGATCGCTGTATGGGGAGAGGAATCGGTGCTATCAGAACTCTGTTCCAGTTTTCGAAATGCCAAAACAATTGTACAAATCTCCCTGGGCATGAAGGACAGAGGCCATAACAGGGACCCGAAGCAATGCCGCGTGAAACTTAAGGAGCTGAGGCAAGCCTACCAGAAAACCAGAGAGGTAAACGGCCGCTGCGGGTCAGAGCCCCAAACATGCCGCTTCTATGATGAGCTGCATGCCATTTTAGAGGGTTCAGCCACCACTACCCCAGCCGTGTTGTTTGACTCCTTCAATGGAGATGGAGGCAACACAGAAGCAGGTTTTGGGGACGAGGAAGATAGCTCGCAACAAGCAAGCGGAGAAACCGGTTTTCCTGACAGCCAGGAACTGTTTCTCACCCTGGACCTGGAGGCAGTCCCCCCCCAAACCCACCCAAGGCTGCCTCCCGGACCCGCCAGGCGGAGAAGGGACCTCTGGTGAGTGTACCTTTTAAAATACTATACATGGTTTAAAAGCAAGCATGTTTAATGATTAATTTGCCCTGGCATTTGCAGCTCTCCTGGATGTACTTCCAAAGCCTTTGCAAAAGGTTTCTGGGGAGGGCAGCCTTATTGCGTCCTTCATGGTAGGACACTTTACCACACTAGGCCAGTAGCACATACTCGGCAATCATTGTAGAACAAAGCATTGCAGTGTATGTTTGCTGGCATTCAAACAACATCCGTTCTTTATCTCTCTATGTTATCCTCAGGAGAGTGATATCATTCATGGTCACCTGGTTGAAATAGGGTGCTTTTCTTAAGGGGACATTCAGAGGTAACCGTTCCTGCTGGGCTGTTTGCCTGTGGCTGAACAGAAATGTTCCCTGCTGTTAGCCATGGGGTGGGGGAGTGAGGGGCTAGACACGTGGTGGGGGGAGGCAAAATGTGACCTTGGAACGAAAGCACATGTGCTGTGTATGTATTGTTAACAGCAAGGTTTACCGTGAAAGAGTGTAGTCATTGTTCTAGAAAATGTGTCTTCTTAAATACCACTGCCTCTTTTTTTTTTTTTTCTCCACCAGCTGCATGTATTTCAAGGATCACGGGATCTTCTCCTTCGCAGAGGCTAGTGAAGATTAGAAGGTGAAAAAACCGCACTCGTGATGAAATGTTCTCTGAGATCATGCTGTCCTCCCACACTGACATAGCACAGACGACTGCGTGGAGGCAGACAATGTCAGAGTGCAGGAAAGCACAGTATGAGCGGGAGGAGAGGTGGCGGGCTGAAGAGAGTAAGTGGCGGGCTGAAGAGAGGGCTGAAGCTGAAAGCTGGTGGCAGCGTGATGAGAGGAGGCAGGATTCAATGCTGAGGCTGCTGGAGGATCAAACCAATATACTCCAGCGTATGGTTGAGCTGCAGGAAAGGCAGCAGGAGCACAGACCGCCGCTACAGCCCCTGTGTAACCAACCGCCCTCCTCCCCAAGTTTCATAGCCTCTTCACCCAGACGCCCAAGAACGCGGTGGGGGGGCCTCCAGCCACTCCACCCCAGAGGATTGCCCAAGCAACAGAAGGCTGGCATTCAATAAGTTTTAAAGTTTTAAACTTTTAAAGTGCTGTGTGGCCTTGTCCTTCCCTCCTCCACCACCCCTCCTGGTGCTTCTCTCCTCCACTACCCCTCCTGGGCTACCTTGGCAGTTATCCCCCTATTTGTGTGATGAATGAATAAAGAATGCATGAATGTGAAGCAACAATGACTTTATTGCCTCCGCAAGCGGTGATCGAAGGGAGGAGGGGAGGGTGGTTAGCTTACAGGGAAGTAGAGTGAACCAAGGGGCGGGGGGGTTTCATCAAGGAGAAACAAACAGAACTTTCACACCGTAGCCTGGCCAGTCATGAAACTGGTTTTCAAAGCTTCTCTGATGTGCGCCCTCCTGTGCTCTTCTAACCGCCCTGGTGTCTGGCTGTGTGAAATCAGCAGCCAGGCAATTTGTCTCAACCTCCCACCCCGCCATAAATGTCTCCCCCTTACTCTCACAGATATTGTGGAATGCAGAGCAAGCAGTAATAACAGTGGGAATATTGGTTTCTCGGAGGTCTAACCGAGTCACTCAACTGCACCAGCGCACTTTTAAACGTCCAAATGCACATTCTACCACCATTCTGCATTTGCTCAGCCTGTAGTTGAACAGCTCCTGACTACTGTCCAGGCTGCCTGTGTATGGCTTCATGAGCCATGGCATTAAGGGGTAGGCTGGGTCCCCCAGGATAACTACAGGCATTTCAACATCCCCAACAGTTATTTTCTGGTCTGGGAATAAAGTCCCTTCTTGCAGCTTTTGAAACAGACCAGAGTTCCTGAAGATGCGAGCGTCATGTACCTTTCCCGGCCATCCCACGTTGATGTCAGTGAAACGTCCCTTGTGATCCACCAGTGCTTGCAGCACTATTGAAAAGTACCCCTTGCGGTTTATGTACTCGGCGGCTTGGTGCTCCAGTGCCAAGATAGGGATATGGGTTCGGTCTATGGCTCCACCACAGTTAGGGAATCCCATTGCAGCAAAGCCATTCACTATGACCTGCAGATTTCCCAGAGTCACCACCCTTCATATCAGCAGATCTTTGATTGCGTTGGCTGCTTGCATCACAGCAGCCCCCACAGTAGATTTGCCCACTCCGAATTGATTCCGACTGACCGGTAGCTGTCTGGTCTTGCAAGCTTCCACAGGGCTATTGCCACTCGCTTCTCAACTGTGAGGGCTGCTCTCATCTTGGTATTCTTGCACCTCAGGGCAGGGGAAATCAAGTCACAAAGTTTCTTATGCATGCGAAAGTTTTGCAACCACTGGGAATCATCCCAGACCTGCAACGCTATGCGGTCCCACCAGTCTGTGCTTGTTTCCCGAGCCCAGAATCAGCGTTCCACCGCATGAACCTGCCCAATTAGCACCATGATGCCCACATTGCCAGGGCCCGTGCTTTGAGAGAAATCTGTGTCCATGTCCTCATCACTCACGTCACCACGCTGACGTCACATACTCGCCCGGTATCGCTTTGCCAGGTTCTGGTGCCGCATATATTGCTGGATAATACATGTGGTGTTTAATGTGCTCCTAATTGCCAAAGTGATCTGAGCGGGCTGCATGCTTGCCGTGGTATGGTGTCTGCCCAGAAAAAAGGCGCGGAACAATTGTCTGCCGCTGCCCTGACAGAGGGAGGGGCGACTGATGACATGGCTTACAGGGTTGGCTTACAGGGAATTAAAATCAACAAAGGGGGTGGCTTTGCGAGAAACTGAATGGCCCCCTCAAGGATAGAACTCAAAACCTGAAGGATAGAACTCAAGACTGGGTTTAGCAGGCCGTTGATTTCACAGAGGGAAGGAGGGAGGGAGGAGAAAATGAATACAAAACAAATCTGGTCTATTTCTTGTTTTGAGCCACTTCATCTATCTTTATACATCTTGCTGGCAGCAGACTGTGCAGTACGACCGCTAGCCATCATCATCTCCTGGGTGCTCGGCAGAAGACGGTGCAGTATGACGACTAGCCATCATCTGCTGGCTGGAGGTTAAAAGAAAGCGCACTGCCGGTAGGACTGAATCGCCACGAGACGAAACAAGGGAAATGACCTGGCTGAGTCACTCCCATGTTTGCCCAGGCGCCCGATTAAAAGAGCACCCAGGACTACGTAAATGACGGCTACCAGTCATACTGCACTGTCTACTGCTAAAAGGCAATTAACTGCTGCTGTGTAGCAATGCAGTACCGCGTCTGCCAGCACCCAGGAGACATATGGTGACGGTTAGCTGAGCGGGCTCCATGCTTGCCATGGTATGGCGTCTGCACAGGTAACTCAAGAAAAAAGGCGCAAAACGATTGTCTGCCCTTGCTTTCGTGGAGGGAGGGAGGGAGCGGGGGCTTGACGATATGTACCCAGAACCACCCACGACAATGTTTTAGCCCCATCAGGCACTGGGATTTCTACCCAGAATACAAATGGGTGGTGGAGACTGCGGGAACTGTGGGATAGCCACCCACAGTGCAACGCTCTGGAAGTCGACGATTGCCTCAGTACTGTGGACACACTCCACCGACTACATGCACTTAGAGCACTTGTGTGGGGACACATACAATCAACTGTATAAAACTGCTTTCTACAAAACCGACTTCTATAAATTCGACCTAATTTCGTAGTGTAGACATACCCTGAGTGATAAAAATACACCTAAGTTCTTAAAGTGTAGGCTTTACAGGCAGGCCTCAATATCTATATTCTAACATGGGTTCTACCCCCTCCCCCATTCTGTGCCTGTCTTGTCTATTTAGATTGTAAATTCTTCAGGGCATGGGCCACCTACTGTTCTGGGTTTGTACTTTGCCTAGCACAATGGAGACCCACTGTTAGTTGGCCCTTAGGCACTAAGGTAATGAATATGATTTATAATAACTCTCCTGCCACTTTGAGCCAAGGAAGCTGGCCTTGGGATGTTACTGCTTAAAAAACTAGCTTGGGTTAAAACCATGGTAAATTCTTTGTGACAAGTATCACACAAATTCCATTGACCTCCTTTGTTTTCTTTGCCTTGAGTAGGGTTTCCAGTTTCCAAACCTGATGTGATCTCGCAGCTGGAAGGAGGGGAAGAGCCGTGGGTCCCAGACCTCCAGGGCTCTGAGAAAGAAGTGCTCCCGAGAGCTGCCTGCACAGGTGAGGAATTGGTTAAACCAACGCAAAAACTATGCTTGAATACAAGAAATATTTGGGATGCCCTACAAAGACCTTGTGAGCTTTCCTAGTTCAGGATTGTTCCCTGCAGATGTGGAATCATTACGGCAGATGTCACTCATGGCTTCTCGCCTATCCTGACTGACAACTGGCAGCTGGTCCCTCCCCAATCTCGCTTTCCCCTAAGAGTTCTGGGGAGATGAGGACCCAGAACTGATCCCATCTTTTCTCTCCTCTGACAAAAGGTTTGGGGAAAATCAGCTCCTGATAGGTTTGATCTCTCCCACACACATTTTGGGTTGTTCATCCCTTTTTCCATTCCTCTCTCTGAGATTTCCTTTCTTTGTGGTGCAGGGAGTGACCTGTGTCTGGATTCTCTCTGTCTTCCATCAGGTGACAAGATGGTGAGTGAGAATGAGGAGGAGACACCCCAGAAGGAAGATGCTGAGGAAGTAGAACCACATGGGATGTTATCAGGAAGATCCAAAGGGAATGGTTCCAGGAGTTGTGCACTCCCAGAAAAAGCAAAAGCCTGTGAGACTCGGCAGAGGCCAGAGGAAAACTTCAGTAGCCACACAGACCTTATTACATGCGAGAGAATCAACTTGGAAGAGACACGCTACGCATGCCATGAGTGTGGGAAAAGCTTCAGTGGGACCTCTGACCTTCTCACACATCAGAAACTCCACAGTGGAGAGAGACCATTCATGTGCTCTGAGTGTGGGAAAAGCTTCAATAGGAGCTCCAGCCTCATCAGCCATCAGCAAATCCACACAGGAGAGATGCCCTACACATGCTCTGAGTGTGGGAAAAGCTTCAATCAGAGATCTTCCCTGATCACACATCAGAGAATCCACACAGGAGATATGCCCTACTCCTGCTCTGAGTGCGGGAAAAGCTTCTATCGGAGCTCGACCTTTACCCGACATCAGCGAATCCACACGGGTGAGAAACCCTACACATGCTCTGAGTGTGGGAAACGCTTCAATGATAGCTCATCCCTTAGCACACATCAGAGAATCCACACGGGTGAGAAACCTTATGCATGCTCTGAGTGCGGGAAAAGCTTCAATCATAGCTCACACCTTATCATACATCGTAGAATCCACACAGGAGAGAAACCCTACACGTGCTCTGAATGCGGGATAGCCGCACACTCAGTCCAGGACCCCCCGGGGGAACAACATCCCCCCCCCTTCCACCAACCACAGAGGAAACCCCCCCCCTCGGGGTTGTGATAGCTCATCCCTTAGCACACATCAGAGAATCCACACGGGTGAGAAACCTTATGTATGCTCTGAGTGCGGGAAAAGCTTCAATCAGAGATCTGCCCTGACCACACATCAGAGAATCCACACAGGAGAGACGCCCTACACCTGCTCTGAGTGTGGGAAAAGCTTCAATGGGACCTCTGACCTTCTCACACATCAGAAACTCCACAGTGGACAGAGACCATTCATGTGCTCTGAGTGCGGGAAGAGCTTCAATAGGAGCTCTTCCCTTGTCACTCATTGGAGAATCCACACGGGTGAGAAACCTTATGGATGCTCTGAGTGTGGGAAACGCTTCAATGCGAGCTCACATGTAATCAGACATCGGAGAATCCACACAAGGGAGAAACCTTACGGATGCTCTGAGTGTGGGAAATGCTTCAGTCGGAGCTCCAGCCTCATCACACATCAGCGAATCCACACAGGGGAGATGCCCTACACATGCTCTGAGTGCGGGAAAAGCTTCAATCACAGATCTTCCCTGATCACACATCAGAGAATCCACACAGGAGATTTGCCGTACACATGCTCTGAGTGCGGGAAAAGCTTCAATCAGAGCTCGCACCTTATCATACATCGTAGAATCCACACAGGAGAGAAACCCTACACCTGCTCTGAGTGTGGGAAACGCTTCAATCAGAGCTCAACCCTTATTAAGCATCAGAAAATCCACATGAGAGAGAACTGTAATAAATGCCTTGACTAGTGCTAGCTAGATTTTTTTAATCACATTTGCTAGTTACCACATAAAGAAAAGGAGTACTAGTGGCACCTTAGAGATTAACCAGTTTATTTGAGCATAAGCTTTCGTGAGCTATGCTGAAATAAATTGGTTAATCTCTAAGGTGCCACTAGTACTCCTTTTCTTTTTGCGAATACAGACTAACACAGCTGCTGCTCTGAAACCTGTAGTTACCACATAGTGATCTTTGCACCATCTTCACCATGGTTTCTCAGCTCCACCAGATGAGTTTCCTGCTTCTCCCTTGTCAGCTCACCCTTCTTTGGGGTCAGTCCTGTGATCTTTTCTGTCAACTCCTTTCCTTTTGAATCATAGGAGTGTGTGTCCCTCCAGCCAGGAATGTTCATCATCTCCAGGTGGGAGAGGGAGGTTTCATCCCCACAAGCTACACTGAGGCAACAAAGTACCTGTGCCTTACATCCACTAGGGCTGTACATGGCATTGGCTGCTCAAGTGAGTGATCTTGGTGTGAAAAGACAATTCTAGTGGTAGAGCAGATGCAGCCCAGGTGCAGTGTTTGGCATTAGCTTTCCCCTTGACCTGACCTAAACTCCATCACTTTTCCTAGTCTAAACAAACCCTGAGCATCACGGTTATACTGTTCCCCCATTTCAAAGCAATTGTTAGACATCAAGTTCCCCCTTGGGGAACAAACTTTCATTCCCAGTTGCTCTGATATTACTTCAGGTTGTGCTGGAGACCAGATATCTTTACTACCATTTTCCTCACTTAAAATGTATTGAACTATAACAAAGAGCAGGGATAAGGAAAAATGTTATTTCATGCTCTGTAACAACAGAAGAACATGGGTTAAGGTGGAGGGATTCCCTTATTCCCCATCACCATCCCAATCCTCCTGCTGTTGAATTGGTTAGGTCAATATTTTGTCTAAAGGGCTGGGAAGAGGATTCCCTAGTAAATGACTTGTAACTAAGCAAAATACCCATGCATTTGGCTCCCAAAGCAGTTGTAACCTAGGCCCTGCAGGAGATGGCTCCTGAAGATATCTCCTTCCTAATCAGGTGCATGTTGCCTATTATTTGGGAAATAGAATACCTATCTAGGTAGGGATGGGAAAAATGGAAGTGACATTTCTGTTCAGCTCACCCCTGGGAGATCCTGGAAACGTGTAGAAAATGAAATCCATGTTGAATGTGATAGAGCTGCAGAAAGACACCTATTTTTAATAGATACCTGACGTTTGGTGTCCTACAGGGATTGTAAGCAGCACCTGAATTTAGTCCCTAATTTAAATCTGTGCCACCAGATGAAAGAAATAAAAGGGCATATTTGGGGGAGTTATACCTCACTATCGCTACTGATATGTTGTACACTAGGTGAAGAATTCTACTCCAAAGAAGTGTAAAATTACTCCAAGGAAGGTCAAAGATATGACAAGAACTCAGGTAGAAATTGCACGTACTAGTGATTGATTTTCACCCCAGAGATGGAAGCTATGGTGACCTGTGGTCCAGGTAAACTATTTTTAGAACGCTGCTACCTAGTTAAGTGGCACTGATCACACTCCTAAAGGATGCCATGATTACATTGGGGACAACTGTCTTTTGCCATTTGGATCCAAAGTTTCATGAAGCATAGAGAGAATCTTAGAATCATAGAAGATTTGGGTTGGAAGAGACCTCAAGAGGTCATCTAGTCCAACCCCCTGCTTAAAGCAGGACCAACACTAACTAAATCATCCCAGCCAGGGCTTTGTCAAGCTGGGCCTTAAAAACCTCTAAGGATGGAGATTCCACCACCTCCCTAGGTAACGCATTCCAGTGCTTCACCACCCTCCTAGTGAAATAGTGTTTCCTAATATCCAACCTAAACCTCCCCCTCTGCAACTTGAGACCATTGGTCCTCAGTGGTGGCACATGACAGAACAAGAACAGCCAAGCACCATCCTCTCTGGAACACCCCTTCCGGTAGTTGAAGGCTGCTATCAAATCCCCCCTCACTCTTCTGCAGACTATATAAACCCAGTTCCCTCAGCCACTCCTCATGAATCAGGTGCCCCAGCCCCCTGATCATTTTTGTTCCCCTCTGCTGGACTCTCTCCAATTTGTTCACATCCATTCTTTAGTGGGGGACCCAAAACTGGATGCAGTACTCCAGATGTGGCTTCACCAGTGCCGAATAGAGGGGAATAATCAATTCCCTCGGTCTGCTGGCAATGCTCCTACTAATGCAGCCCAATATGCCATTAGTCTTCTTGGAAACAAGGGCACAATGCTGATTCATATCCAGCTTCTCATCCACTGTAACCCCAAGGTCCTTTTCTGCAGAACTGCTGCCGAGCCATTCAGTCCCTAGTCTGTAGCGGTGCATGGGATTCTTCTGTCCTTAGTGCAAGACTCTGCACTTGTCCATCTAGAATTTAATCAGATTTCTTCTGGCTCAATTCTCCAATTTGTCTAGGTCATTCTGGACCCTATCCCTACCCTCCAGCATATCTCCCTCTCCCCCCACCTTAGTGTCATCTGCAAATTTGCTGATGGTGCAATCTATCCCATCATCCAGATCATTAATAAAGATGTTGAACAAAACCAGCCCCAGGACCGACTCCTGGGGCACTCCGGTCTGCCAACTAGACATGGAGCCATTGATCACTACCCATTGAGCCTGACAATATAGCCAGTTTTCTATCCACCTTATTAATCCAATCCATACTTTTTTAACTTGCTGGCAAGAATACTGTGGGGGATGGTATCAAAAGCTTTGCTAAAGTCAAGATATCTCACATCCACTTCTTTCCCCATATCTACAGAGCCAGTTATCTCCTCATAGAAGGCAATCAGATTGGTCAGGCATGACTTGCCATTGGTGAATCCATGTTGACTGTTCCTGATTAAAATTTATCAAAATTTTAAAATAAATCTTCTGTTAAGAGGAAAATTACTTGAGAGAAGATGCGAAACTTAGAGGGCAACAGCCACAGAGTTCCCCAGCTCTCTTGTTTTCAAAGCAAAGATGTCACATCAGGCACGGGATGTAAAAATCTAAAATGGTGATGGTCATAAATATAAAGGGAAGGGTATCCACCTTTCTCTATACAGTGCTATAAAATCCCTCCTGGTCAGAGGCAAAACCCTTTCACCTGTAAAGGGTTAAGAAGCAAAGATAACCTCGCTGGCACCTGACCAAAATGACCAATGAGGAGACAAGATACTTTCAAATCTGGAGGGGAGTGGGGAACAAAGGGTTTGTCTGTGTGTGTGATGCTTTTGCCGGGAACAGATCAGGAATGCAGCCTCATAACTCCTTAAATTAGTAAGTAATCTAGCTAGAAATATATTAGATTTCCTTTTGTTTCATGGCTGGTAAAATAAGCTGTGGTGGATGGAATGTATATTCCTGTTTTTGTGTCTTTTTGTAACTTAAGGTTTTACCTAGAGGGATTCTCTATGTTTTGAATCTGATTACCCTGTAAGGTATTTACCATCCTGATTTTACAGAGGTGATTCTTTTACCTTTTCTTTAATTAAAATTCTTCTTTTAAGAACCTGATTGATTTTTCATTGTTCTTAAGATCCAAGGGTTTGGGTCTGTGTTCACCTGTAGAAATTGGTGAGGATTTTTATCAAGCCTTCTCCAGGAAAGGGGGTGTAGGGCTTGGGGGGATATTTTGGGGGAAGACGTCTCCAAGTGGGCTCTTTCCCTGTTTAACATGGTTGGTGGTGGCAGCATATGGTTCAAGGACAAGGCAAAGTTTGTACCTTGGAGAAGTTTTTAACCTAAGCTGGTAAGAATAAGCTTAGGGGGTCTTTCATGCAGGTCCCCACATGTGTACCCTAGAGTTCAGAGTGGGGAAGGAACCTTGACAGTGATGGATATGTGATGGTAGCTTTTCTGGATTGCTTTCTGGTTTGGTTTCATTTTTTTCATTTAAGTTTTGTTTTGTTTTTCCAACCAGTTCTTTTTATAGGTGTTGAGGCTCTTTTCCTTTTGAGCACAGCTGTTTAACCCTCAGGCCTGGCTTTGGAAACCTCCTCAGAACTGGCCTTGTGTTTCTTTCATTGTTGATATCTTTGGGGTTCACATCCACAGTACATACGGTTCAGAGCAACAGATACTTTGAGAAACCTGCTGAGTGAAGCAGGCCTTTTACAAACTGACATTGGCCCAAAGTCTGCCTCAATTCAGCTGGATTGGAACACGTCTGTATCAAAGCAGTGGTTCACACCTGATTTGCCCAGTAACCTCGGGGGAAGGGCTGGTAAGATAGGATAAGTAGGAATTGACCACAATAATGTTAAAGGTAAGGGTGACAGACCTTCACCTTGCAGGTCAACAAGCCTGTTCTTTTCATTCCCACTGAAGCATCTGGCACTATTCACTCTTAGGCTGCACACTTGTCTAGATGGACCATTGGTCTGACCCAGTATGACCAGTCTTGCATTCTTATGTAAGCCATCTATGGCCTTGTATACACTGGCAAGTTTCTGCACAGGAAAGCAGCTTTCCCCTTAGAATTCTGGGGAGATGTGGACCCAGAACTGATCACATCTTTTCTCTCCTCTGAGGAATGGTTTGGGGAAAATCAGCTCCTGATAGGTTTGATCTCTTCCGCATGCATTTTGGCTTGTTCATCCCTTTTTCCATTCCTCTCTCTGAGATTTCCTTTCATTTCAGTGCAGGGAGTGACCTATCTCTGAATTCTCTCTGTCCCCCATCAGGTGACAAGATGGTGAGTGAGAATGAGGAGGAGACACCCCAGCAGGAAGATGCTGAGGAAGTAGAACCACATGGAACGTTATCAGGAGGATCCAAAGGGAATGTTTCCGGGAGTTGTGCACTCCCAGAAAAAGCAAAAGCCTGTGAGACTCAGCAGAGGCCAGAGGAAAACTTGAGTAGCCACTCAGACCTTATTACACATGAGAGAATCAACTTGGAAGAGACACGCTACGCATGCCATGAGTGTGGGAAAAGCTTCAATGGGACCTCTGACCTTCTCACACATCAGAAACTCCACAGTGGAGAGAGACCATTCATGTGCTCTGAGTGTGGGAAAAGCTTCAATAGGAGCTCCAGCCTCATCAGCCATCAGCAAATCCACACAGGAGAGATGCCCTACACATGCTCTGAGTGTGGGAAAAGCTTCAATCAGAGATCTTCCCTGATCACACATCAGAGAATCCATACAGGGGAGATGCCCTACTCCTGCTCTGAGTGCGGGAAAAGCTTCAATCTTAGCTCAACCCTTAGCACACATCAGAGAGTCCATATGGGGGCGGAACCTTCTGGATGCTCTGAGTGTGGGAAAAGCTTCAATCACAGCTCTACCCTGAGGACACATAGGAGAATCCACACAGGAGAGATGCCCTACACCTGCTCTCAGTGCGGGAAAAGCTGCAGTCAGAGCTCAAACCTTATCACACATCAGAAAATCCATATGAGAGAGAATTGTAATAAATGCCTTGACTAGGGCTGGCTAAAGATTTTTTTTTTTAATCACGTTTGCTAATTCCCACATAGTGATCTTTGCACCATCTTCACCATGATTTCTCAGTTTCACCAGATGAGTGGCCTGCTTCTGCCTTTTCAGCTCACCCTTCTTTGGGGTTGGTCCTGTCATCTTTTCTGTCAGCTCCTTTCCTTCTGAATCATAGTTGTGTGTGTTCCTCCAGCCAGGAATGTTCATCATCTCCAGGTGGGAGAGAGAGGTTTGATCCCCACAAGCTACACTGAGGCAACAAAGTACCCGTCCCTTACTTCCACTAGGGGTGTACATGGCATTGGCTGCTCAAGTGAGTGATCTTGGTGTGAAAAGACAATTATAGTGGTAGAGCAGATGCAGCCCAGGTGCAGTGTTTGGCATTAACTTTCCCCTTGACCTGACCTAAACTCCATCACTTTTCCTAGTCTAAACAAACCCTGAGCATCATGATTATACTGTTCCCCATTTCAAAGCAATTGTTAGACATCAAGTTCCCCCTTGGGGAACAAATTGTTTCATTCCCAGTTGCTCTGATATTACTTCAGGTTGTGCTGGAGACCAGATATCTTTACTACCATTTTCCTCACTTAAAATATATTGGACTATAACAAAGGGCAGGGAAAAGGAAAAATGTCATTTTGTGCTCTGTAACAACAGAAGAACATGGGTTAAGGTGGAGGGATTCCCTTATTCCCCATCACCATCCCAATCCTCCTGCTGTTGAATTGGTTAGGTCAATATTTTGTCTAAAGGGCTGGGAAGTGGATTCCTTAGTAAATGACTTGTAACTAGGCAAAATACCCATGCATTTGGCTCCCAAAGCAGTTCTGTCCAGGCTCTGAAGGAGGTCGCTCCTGAAGATATCTCCTTCCTAATCAGGTGCATGTTGCCTATTATTTGGGAAATGCAATCCCTATGTAGGTAGAGATGGGGAAAAATGGAAGTGACATTTCTGTTCAGCTCACCCCTGGGAGATCCTGCAAACGTGTAGAAAATGAAATCCATGTTGAATGTGATAGAGCTGCAGAAAGACACCTATTGTTAATAGATACCTGACATTTGGTGTCTTACAGATCTAAGCAGCACCTGAATTTAGTCCCTAATTTAAATCTGTGCCACCAGATTAAAGGAATAAAAGGGCATATTTGGGGGAGTTATACCTCACTATCACGACTGATATGTTGTATGCTAGGTGAAGAATTCTACTCCAGGGAAGTGTAAAATTACTCCAAGGAGGGTCAAAGATATGACAAGAACTCAGGTAGAAATTGCACGTACTAGTGATTGATTTTCACCCCAGAGATGGAAGCTATCGTAACCTGTGGCCCAGGTAAACTATTTTTAGAACGCTGCTACCTAGTTAAGTGGCACTGATCACACTCCTAAAGGATGCCATGATTAAACTGGGCACAACTGTCTTTTACCATTTGGATCCAAAGTTTCAGGAAGCTTAGAGAGTCTCTTAGAATCCTAGAAGATTAGGGTTGGAAGAGACCTCAAGAGGTCATCTAGTCCAACCCCCTGCTTAAAGCAGGCCCAACACCAACTAAATCATCCCAGCCAGGGCTTTGTCAAGCTGGGCCTTAAAAACCTCTCAGGATGGAGATTTCACCACCTCCCTAGGGAACCCATTCTAGTGCTTCACCACCCTCCTAGTGAAATAGTGTTTGCTAATATCCAACCTGAACCTCCCCCACTGCAACTTGAGACCATTGGTCCTCAGTGGTGGCATATGACAGAACAAGAACATCCAAGCACCGTCCTCTCTGGAACACCCTTTCAGGTAGTTGAAGGCTGCTATCAGATCCCCCCTCACTCTTCTGCAGACTAAATAAACCCAGTTCCCTCAGCCACTCCTCGTAAGTCAGGTGCCCCAGCCCCCTGATCATTTTTGTTGCCCTCTGCTGGATTCTCTCCAATTTGTCCACATCCTTTCTGTAGTGGGGGACCCAAAACTGGACGCAGTACTCTCGATGTGGCTTCACCAGTGCCGAATAGATGGGAACAATCAATTCCCTTGGTCTGCTGGCAGTGCTCCTACTAATGCAGCCCAATATGCCATTAGTCTTCTTGGAAACAAGGGCACACTGCTGACTCTATACAGTGCTATAAAATCCCTTCTGGCCAGAGGCAAAACCCTTTCACTTGTAAAGGGTTAAGAAGCTAAGATAACCTCGCTGGCACCTGACCACAACGACCAGTGAGGAGACAAGATACTTTCAAATCTGGAGGGGAGTGGGGAACAAAGGGTTTGTCTGTCTGTGTGATGCTTTTGCTGGGCACATATCAGGAATGCAGCCTCATAACTCCTTAAATTAGTAAATAATCTAGATAGAAATGTGTTAGATTTCCTTTTGTTTAATGGCTGGTAAAATAAGCTGTGGTGGATGGAATGTATATTCCTGTTTTTAAAGTAACAGCTGTGTTAGTCTGTATTCGCAAAAAGAAAAGGAGTACTTGTGGCACCTTAGAGACTAACCAATTTACTTGAGCATAAGCTTTCGTGAGCTACACCACAGTATGCATCCGATGAAGTGAGCTGTAGCTCACGAAAGCTTATGCTCAAATAAATTGGTTAGTCTCTGAGGTGCCACAAGTACTCCTTTTCTTATTCCTGTTTTTGTATCTTTTTGTAACTTAAGGTTTTACCTAGAGTGATTTTCTATTGTGACAAAGTTCCAGCTCTACCTTGGTGGGTCTTGTGCTTATTGACGGATTTGCTCGCCTTGGACCTTCATGGCAGCCCTCAGCTTGGCCGTTTTTCTGAATTCACAGTCCAGGTCGACTCCTCCTGTGTCTGACCAGGAGTTGGGAGGATTTGGGGGGAACCCGGGCCCGCCCTCTACTCCGTGTTCCAGCCCAGGGCCCTGTGGAATGCAGCTGTCTAGAGTGCCTCCTGGAACAGCTGTGCGACAGCTACAAATCCCTGGGCTACTTCCCCATGGCCTCCTCCCTACACCTTCTTTATCCTCACCATAGGACCTTCCTCCTGGTGTCTGATGATGCTTGTACACCTCAGTCCTCCAACAGTCCACATTCTCATTCTCAGCTCCTAGTGCCTCTTGCTCCCAGCTCCTCACACGCACACCACAAACTGAAGTGAGCGCCTTTTTAAAACCCAGGTGCCCTGAGTAGCTTGCCTTAATTGATTCTAGCAGCTTCTTGATTGGCGGCAGGTGTTCTAATCATCCTGTCTTAATTATCTCCAGAAGGTTCCTGATTGTTCTGGAACCTTCTCTGTTAAGGAGACGGAATCGTTCTTCACTCGCTCCTGAGCTATCTGCTTTCCTTTCTTTCCTAAAGCCCCCCGGCCCGGATTTTTCACACTTTTCCTTTTGCTTAGTTTCCCCCCCCCCGCGTTTGGGCCGGACGCTTTGTTTTTTTGGTTTCGTTTTTTCCCGTTTTCCTGAGCTGCGTCAGTGTGCTGGCCGGTTGCCAGCACCCCCCCCCCCGATGCCTGCTTTTGGACTTTGCTCTTTGCTTATTTGAAACCCCCGGAGGAGGGGGGGAGGACTGCCGACCTGCTGTCCGGAGAGGGGAGTGGACCCCCCCAGACCCAGCTGTTTTGTTTTTTGCCTGGACTTTTTCCGAGAGCCTTGGGACAGAGCCAACAGCTGTAGCAGACGCCAGAGGCCGGAGAACTCCCGGGCGGCTATGAATCATCGTGGAGAGAGGCCGTAAGACTGAGGGATTTCTTTTGAATTTCTACCCTCGGGGGGGGGGGAGTTGACTGCATTTCAGCTGCGTCTGCGGCGGCACAGGGGTGTAGCAGGGAGCTACCCCCAGATCCATCGGTGCCCCCAACCCCCCCACCACTACTACGACTATCACGGCCCCCGCTGCTTCGTCCCTGCTGGCAATCTGCCATCTGCCTTCGGATCCAGCTGTTTGCTTTGGACCTTGCCTTTTGGACCGGCATAATAACCAACCAAGCGAGACTCTTTGGACACTTGTGGTGGGTTGTCCTCCCTCCACCCCCCCCCCCCCGGATTGTTTACCCCATAGCCTACCCCTACTACCGGACCCCGATTTTTGCCCCCCTCCCCCTCCCAGTGTCTCCCTGTCTCTCCCTGCTTACAATGGCAGAGAAGGAGGGACGCAAGGCCCCTCCACCGAAATTGGTTGCCCCTTCCTCATCTACCCTCCTGCCCACCCCTCAAGATTTCCCCACCGCCTCCATTGTTAGAACCCCTGCCACCGCCCCCGCTGGGGCATCGGCAGTAGGAGGCACCGGGGCGCTTACTACTGCTGCTCTGGTTTCTGCCCCATTAGATTCTAGGAACCCCCCCCCAGTTAGACGGAAAAATCGAAGCGGGCCAAAAGGGAAGGGCCCCGCTAATGCCGCTGGACCCTCCGTGGCAGAGGCCGCCCCCACCACAGTGGCCTCGTCATCGATCGCGGCACCCCTCCCAGCTGTTCCCTCCACCAGCTCTGCGACCATCCCTCCCCCGGCCCCCAGGACGTATGCCCGGGTGGCGACAGGCCCCCCCTCACCTGCCGCCTCCTCATCTCGCCCACCCACTGCCTCCGCTGCCATCACTAGCAATCGGGGCCCTTTTCCCGCCCTGACCAGGAAGCACGGTGTCCGTTGCCTCCTAGTGCCCGCCTCGCCCCACGTGGAGGCATACGTGCAGGCGTTGGCGAAAGTGGTAGGACCCATGGCCATTGTGGCGGCCTCCAAGATGTATGGGAAGGTCGTTCTTTTTCTGGCCTCGGAGACTGCCGCCCAGGAGGCGGTGGAGAAGGGCCTAGTGGTGGGGGGGTGTTTCTCCCCCTAGAACCGCTAGAAGATCTGGGCGTTCGCTTCGTCCTCACCTCCGTTCCTCCCTTTTTGCCTAATGTTGCCCTGTTACCTGCTCTCTCCGCCCTGGGGAAGCTTGTCTCTGTTATTAGCCCTCTCCCGTTAGGCTGTAAGGACCCCGCCCTCCGTCACGTCCTTTCGTTCCGCCGGCAAGTGCAGATTTCACTGCCGGCGGGGGTGCGTGACGGAGAGGCGCTCGAGGGGTCCTTCCAAGTTCCCTACCAGGGAGCCCGCTATAGGGTCTTTTATTCCACCGGAGAGGCCCGGTGCTACCTCTGCCGCTCGGCAGGGCATGTCCGCAGGGACTGCCCTTTGGCCCGGGGGAGAGGGGCACCTGAGACCCCCGAGACCCGGCGGGATATCGGCCCTGCTGTTGCCGACACCCCTGGCCACCCGGCACCCGACACCACCCCCCCTCCCACCCGATCCACCGCTGCCCCCGTCCGGGCCCAAGAGGCACCCCTCCAACAACGCCCGGGCGACCACGGGAGTTCCACTCTTGCCGTAACCACCTCGGCAGAGCCTATGGAGGGGGGTGTGGCAAGGCTTTTACCGGGTGCAGGA